GATGATTACAATTGCATAATGAATAAAAGTATAAGCATAGAAGGGAACTATTACTCTGATAGATTTAGCTATATTGATATCAAACTGAATAAGTGCCAGAATTCAACGTCTTCAAAAGTCATTTGCAAAGACAAAAAATAAATTGATGAATTCTTTGAAAAAGAATAGTTTAACATTGCTTATGTCAATTCATACATCGATTTTAATGATTATTAGAAACCATTGAAAACATTTATTGATGACTCAGTTTTTTGGGAAATAGAATCTGATAGGTTCAAAAAGTCTAATATAAATATCTAGAAATAGGAAGCAAACCTTTAGGATGATTTTTTGCAATTAGGTCAGCAAGAGTCTTTTGTCTTCTCTTAAGTTTCGAATATTAGAGAGTATGAAGATATTTATACGGATGCAGAAGGTACGTTGATTTAACTCTACTTAAGATTTGATTACCGATATGATACCTATAATAGGCAAACCTACTCACTACTCTAGCTACTTGGAGATATTGGAGGTCTTCAGTAATCCCTCTATATTTTAGGATTTATACTTATTGATTTTTTTTCTAGAAGAATTTTTGTAGCATCAATACTAAAGTAGATCTACTAAGTTAAGCAAAATCTTGGACAAATGAGATAGGAGGATTAGAATAATTCGGGATAGGTTTAGAAAATAAGATAAGATATTTATCAATAAAAAGAACTTAATAGCTAGCTCACACTCAATAGAGAAAGTATTGAAAGCTCTTTAAATAATTAGAGATTAGTTTAAGCTGAAAAAATAATTAAGAAAAACTAAAAATCTTCTCTTTAGATCGAGAAGAGCAAAAGCTTTAATACCGGAGTAAAACCTAATCGATTTGCATTTGATACCATAGTCCATAGCAGAATGAGTAATAGAGATAATGAAAATGGATAAGGAAAATAGAAGAGTATCTCTGTTATACAAACTTCAATTTAATCTATCAAGGAAAGTGATTCATTCCATAATTCCCAAGATGACTAAAATTAGGTTGATGTATTGCCTGAAATTGAAATTTAGAAAGAAGAGGCTCCATAATCTTTTATCTCAAGTTTTGTAGGAATAGATAATAGTCATGCAAGTATATTAGAAATCCAAGAAAAAGAGAATGAACAAAACTTTCCTCAATATGGATGGCATCTCGCATCTTTTGAAACACCGCAAGAATAAGTTTTCGGAAATACAGATCCGGAATTCAATATTAAAATTAAGGAAGATTCAAGCTCTATCAAGCAAGACAAAGAGTAAAGAAGAATAGACAGAGTTATCAAGGAAAAGAATAAATTACTAAGCAAGGATTTAAATTCAATACTTTTAAATCTAATAAACAGGAAAAGATTCAAATATACTGCACTAAACATACTTGAGTATGTCTTTAGCTGCTTATGTTTGAAGAGAGGAACTAGTCTTAAGTATAAGCAGAAATTCAAAAAACATTTTATATTCAAGAAAGGTCAAGATAAACTGCTTGAAGAACTAGATATTGTATCAATATTGAAATCAATGAGACAAGTCAAGCTGCTTACTCAAGTCTTGCTCAATCAGAGACAGAATATGATACTCAAATTTCAGAGAAAAAATCTTATAGAAACTAGCTCATCATCTGAGGATAGTGACAACAATAAAAATTATTATACAAGCAAACTAATGGAAAGTAAAAATCCAATGATTAGGCTAGTTATTTTTGGAAAGCTTAAAAAGATGGTTCAGTCTTATAAAAATCAAAAGCTAAAGGAATTGGATAAGAGATTATTAAGAGGGCTATTTATAAGAAAACTAAAAGATTTTGATGAAGATCTTCAAGATAAACTAAAAAATAAGACGCTTTTGATGCGACTAAGTGAAATTTTGATAAAGAAATCTGCGAGTAGTAGTATAGCTAATGAGAGTAATAACAATGTTAAATTTATAACTAATGAGAGTTAGATGAATGGTGATCACTTATTAAAGATCAAACGATTGGAATAGTATGGCGAAAAGTAAAGAATATAATCAAAACAAAATCATATATTTCTTTAGGATGGATAAAGTGTTAATGACTCAATCTAAAGTATATCAAAATCTAATGCTATTTCAAACATTTAGATTAAAACTGATTATTTACTTGATTAAATTAACTAGAAAGAATTGGTTTTCAATAGAACTAAAAAAAAGGTTTCAAAGGCTTAATGAAAAATTAAATCAGAGATATTTTATGAAATACTTTATTATCTAATACAATTTTCTATATTTTGAGCATAATTGATTCTTGGGGTTTTGGGGTTTTGGGG